ATACTATTGTAACAAATGAGAATTCGTCGAAGTAAAATTTTGGTGCTTACCATCTCATCGATTAATGGACATCGAGAACTGAAAGATTCCTTTCCGAGACTAGTTTTCCTTATGATCTACATATGAGGACAAAAAATATTTAACAAAGACCTGGATCCTACGCACTATTGGGTTGGACTTGGATTTTAGGCTTCATTGGTCAGTACTACGAAACAATCATCTAATTGGTGTGAACTTTTCAGGCGTCTTAGTCGGCACATAATTTATTGATCATACGCTTTGTATGGAAGATTCTAAGCAGCTTACATAATTCCTCCTTATCAGATCGCAGTCATTGTATAGTTCTGTTAATTTTTCTTCATCCTTATGCGCATACTAAACATATCTTCCATTCCTAATATTATTAATTTAAATTGTTCTATCCATTTACTAAACGCTGCTTGAGCTTTTGGTCCTTTTCAATGTTTCCAGTCTCCAAGCAATCTCGAAAACATTTAATTTCAAATCACTCGTACAGTTCCAGCTTACCACTTCCAATCACCACTCATAAACACCATGAAATATGTATATTCTGTGATGAACGTAAGAAGTTCTTGATAAACGAGTGTCACGTTATCAAGAGGCTAACATTAATTACCTTGAATGATTTAACTTTCTTATGGCTACAAAAGTATTTCTATTTAACGTTAGCTTCTGAAGTCGATAGTATTACAGTCTAATCTTTTAAGTGTCATTGGACAGAAAGATTCTGGACTTGGTCATTAGTGGTAGTGGGGAGTATCATCCCATCACAGGGCAGCTGGCACAGCATTTTATGTCTTTCATGACCTTTACTTAAGCTTAAGAACAAATTTAGCATAAGTGAAAATAAAAATCAGTTATCTAGCTAACCTTTGCACCAGATGGATACTATATTTTTGGCTAAAGAACTAAACCCCAAATTTTAGTTTTCTAAAGAAAACAGTGGTAACTTAAATGTCCTACAAATAACTAATGCTCTTAAATTCAATAACAGGGACTGTATTCTAAATCCTGGTGCTAATCAAAATCATATTCTAGTCAGATTCAGTGCACCGCATTGTCTTCCTTGATGGACTCTTCTGTCTATCACTTTAGGTTAGACATAAACAGCTTTCATATCTGTCTCCCTTGGTGCTGTGGATAAGCACTTATATGTCTTACCATGTCTGTCCGGACTCACTTACATCAGGTGTAGCATAAGTGAATTTCATCTTGAATAATATTGCTGAAATTAAATATGCATAGCCCGAACAATACGTTCTACAGATTTCATCTAAAGGCCATACCACAAATTCAATTTTGAATTCAGAGACAGTTCAGAGTCGAAATAAAAGACCTCCTTGTTAGCGATAAGGCATCAAATAAATCAGAAAGTCGATCACAACAGTAATCAGTGAAAGTGTGCGTTCCTGAATGGGCTAGTTGGAATTCACCTGCTAACTGTGCAATGTCATCACCAGACTGTGACATGGCTCTAAGGTTATTTCATAGCAGTCTAAAGCGTTTATGTTATGGTAACAGAAATAGCTATGAACTATGATCAGTGTGTTTGTATTGAACTAAAAAACATAAAATTGATTACACACAGCCAAAATGTTTGTTAGACGTTTAACAAGGCATTTGTTATACACATTTTTTTTACATAGAAGTGTACTGAAATATAAGTTTACGGAAATTTGATACAAACACCCCTTGCCGACCGATATTTTCTATATCAAATGTAAATATGAACATGCTAAGCAAAATTAAGGGGTCTGTATTTCTTACAGCAGTGGTCTTTTTAGAAATAATTTTATGTGGTGAAATAAAACAACTAAATTCACTATTAATAAGTAGACAGACAAAAATGCTGAGGGTTACGAGATCATTGATATTTTCGTTAGCATGTATTGAGGTTCAAATTTTATCTCTTTAATGAAGAATAACAGTAACTCGTTCGATTTCTGTGTAAGAATTTTTTAGGAAGAGTTCAGATACTCGAGTAATTCATCAAGTCACATATATTGCCAATAAATTGCATGATAAACAATTAATCAGCTAGAAATATTATATCTGGAAAGTAGAAACAAATATCTATCATTCTCACAAACAGTTATCCCTAAGACTAGGCTCTTAGTCACACTATCTATCTATCTATCTATCTATCTATCTATCTATCTATCTATCTATCTATCTATCTATCTATCTATCTATCTATCTATCTATCTATCTATCTATCTATCTATCTATCTATCTATCTATCTATCTATCTATCTATCTATCTATCTATCTATCTATCTATCTATCTATCTATCTATCTATCTATCTATCTATCTATCTATCTATCTATCTATCTATCTATCTATCTATCTATCTATCTATCTATCTATCTATCTATCTATCTATCTATCTATCTATCTATCTATCTATCTATCTATCTATCTATCTATCTATCTATCTATCTATCTATCTATCTATCTATGCATCTTTGTCTCCATACATATATATATGTATATATATACATATAGTAAATGGATACTTAGCAAATTTACTGACTTTTTGCGCAAAAGTGCCAGTTTTGATGCATTGATGAAAGGTTAAAGTGAAAACATCGATTTTCTCCAGATCTTCTTTTACGACTTAGTTCTTGTAAGTTAATACTCTAGTGTTACACTCTCGCTTACTCCTGGCTAGGAACACTGATTTTGAATATTGATTACAATACTCACCGTGATCTGTAATCGAATTCAATCCGGTAATGAAAACCGATTTTTGAGTTTATTAATAAGTTTAAAGAATGCTTAAATTACAACTAATATAAACCGTCTCAGTTCTAATTAAAGGCATATTTAGCTGTAAGATATAGTTCGCAAAATACTATGTAAATATACTAAGAAAATGAATTTTAGGTGAATAAATACTCATTCCGTGTAAACTTAAATTTACAACGAAATATCTAAGCGATAAACAAATGACACACTTAAAACCGCAACATATTTTGATAAGAACTTTGAATAAATATCACAAACTGAGTCATCGTAAAGTTTTCATCAATAAATCGTGTTAGTTTACATATGATGTTGCGAAGCATTTTTGGCTCAGGAGGAAGGAAATCTTCACGCATACAAACTGCTTATGAAACAAATGTGCAATGATACTGCTAATTGTAAAAATAGAGGTATGAGAACTATCCGGTAATGAGTAGGCACAAAACTCTATGCAGTGTAAGTCAATGTACATTTACAACTGGTAAACAAAAAATCTGAGAATACTTATGACAGCGGTTTTCAAAAATTAGGACTGACATTTACTTTTTCTCTTGTTGGTTTTCGAATATTATACAAATGTATATGTATACATATATATATATATGATATTCAGTCACATCATTCGAAACAAGACGATTAGAGGGTGAAAAGTGTGATCGCTTAAAAATTAAGTTCAGTGTAATATTTAATTTGGTTATAGTAGACTTACTATAGAGAACCATTATTAAGTACAAGAAATAATAGTAACTCAAGGATTGTGAATTTTGAAAAGTATGCGTCAAGAAATGCAAATGAGATTAACTGTAGGATGAAAAGTTTCGATGGTGATCTATATTTTTCAGTTTCTAAACTTAAACATCCATTTTATTCAGAAAATATTGACTATTTCGGTGTGAAAGTTATCATAAACTTATTTCTCGGAAGATAATTTGCTTATTCTATTTGAGATGACGCTGCAAATTACATGCTACTTCCAAACCAACATCTGGAGTGATTTTTTGGAAACGCTAGTCATGAGATTGTGAAAGATTTCATCTTCCTATATGAACATCAATGCATTATTTTGTTTCAAGCCTCAGGGGTTGTCAATGACTTGTGTATTACAGGTCATTACTATTACTAATACCATCTCAAAGTTTTAGTTCGCTTTTCCGTCTGTCTCAAACTTCAGAAATGAAAGCTGATGACAACTCAATGTTTACATTTTATGCCTTTCCTTTATTTAATACTGTATGTTTCTCTATCTAATTAGTAGTAAGAAAACTTTACTTTTAAAGGATCCCTGCTTATCTATCTAAAATTTTACATAGCTCAAATGAACTCATTATTCAGTCTAAAATAATGCTCTGATTCCATTTAGGCTTTTTATGTATCCCTCAGTTGAATGAAGTGTCTGAAATAGGGGAAGACAATTTTTATTGACTACAGTAGTTAGTGTATTTAACTCACTATGAATTTTAATGAGTATTATTCATGCCACTATGGACAATTCATTGTTTATTAGTTGCTTGATGTACATGATGTGTGGCAGTTATATACGATAAATTAATTTAAGTCAGTTTTAATGTAGTAAATACTATATGTTTATGTTATACATACATATTTATTTGATAGAAGAACCTGTGCAGAAGGTATGTATTTATAATAAAAAGATAAGATATACTCTATATCGTCCAAAATTCTATAGGTGAACGCTTAATTTTCTGAATAATCCGTACAGTCGTCAGTACAGCACGGTTTATTTATAAATGTGGTCTGAAAAATTATTATTTATCAGCTTTCTAGTAGATTAAACATCACTAATGAGGTCATTACATAACCGAACATCTCTACTGATTTCGCTTTCCACTACGAAGTGTATCCTGAGTACATTTACAAGATAGAATACTTCTCTTTCATTTATTTGTTGTAACCTCAGTGATGTATCTTTAACTGCTCAATACATACACAACTGAGTGTTTTTGACAATAACCATCAAACTACTAATCCATTCATGTTCAATGAAAATGGGTAGTTTCAGAAAGTACAACACTTTTATAACGTTTTATTGTAAAAATGAGACAAATAAGAAAGTAGATTTATTAGTATTTCTTCACAAGAAAAATAAATAGCATTTGATAGGTTTTAAGCGACCTTCTAATTTTCAGTGTTTAGGGGAATGTACAGCAATGATATTACGCTCTACTGATATGTACGAAATAATTTCTGGACTTCAGTCAGTGCAGAACATATTTATAAAGCTTTGGAATACAGCTGACTGTTTGATAGGTTTGAAACAGAAGTGGCAAAATTAAATAGAGATTCTCGGTCTTCTTGAGAGTATGTAGATGCTTTGCGAGAGTTTGTACTTTTCACTTTACGTATGTCTGTGCCACGCTGATTATATTTATCACTAAAATATTGATGTCGTATTCGATTTTGTTCTTTTATATAACAGTTTAGCAGATCCAGAAATGAATTATGAGACGCTGCATCTTTGATTTGATACATTTCATAACGTGACTGCTTTTCGCTGCGTGAATCAATGCATAACACGAAACATCCCGATTTAGGGATATGAGAAGTTGTGAAGATATGCTTAACTTCAGAGTAAAAAATACAAGGTTTAGGATAGACATTCGATTTTGAGTTCTTGCTAGCAAGTATGATTTTATCGGGCAGTATAAATGCGTTATACTTGATTGGTTTATTTTTATAATATTTTTTGATGAATGCGACAGCATTTGATTCTGTGAAGACTTCACATGGAGGTAATACTACGGAACGTATTAAAGATATGCTTAGTTCATGTAGGCGTTCCACTCGTTTTTGTTCTATAGAAGAGCTTTGTATGTTCACTTGGCTAGTCAGCGATGCTGATTTTGGTTTATTGTGTGGCATAACTGATTGCTGTGGTTGATAGTGATCCCAGAATGTATAACCAGATTAAACTTAGGGGGATATTTAGTCAACCAGCAGATTGAAGGCAAATATGATCTATTATTGATGTGATTTTTAATTTAACATAAATAAGCAATTAAGTAGTTTGAATATATCATAAGTATTTCTTAAAGTCACTAAAATCTCTCACAAATCAAAAGAACAATGTGAATAATAACAAAAACAACGGAAAATAGCAATTTCAACTACGTGACAGACATGTGTGCATTTATTTATGTTAGCGTAGGTGTATAAACTGTAATTCCTTTGCACCCAATGGTAAAAACTGCTTAATCAAATATCGATCGAAGGTTAATGGTAGGAAATACGTTTTTATAAACATATGCTGAACATATTTTGGAAGTAATACACGAAGGAATATTTTCATACTTCTAAGTAAAACAATCACCTATTTCCAATTTATTTGCAGGTACTACTTGAAAACATTTAGTAGGTTTGAAAAAGACCATAGATGTTACGAATTTCTTGAGATAATCTGACTGAATCGTCAGTGTGTTTAGTAAATGAAAACAAGACTCTCGATTTGAAGAGATTTTCATTACAACTTTAGCTGTTCAACAGTTTAACGGATAATTATGTAAGTATGATAAAGCCCTACTATTGTTCGTAGCCGGAGGAACTGATCAGAGCAATAAACCGATTCAGTGATTTATAGTAATATACATCGCTAATCTGGTAAATCTCTAGCCTTTTTTCTAACATAAAGATTTAAGTAGTTATACTAATAACATGGTCCCATCCTGCTGATTAAGTAGTTTGTGAATTGATAACCTATAGCCAATAGCTCAAATTCATTGATCAAAAATATCTGTTGTGCTGATTTCTAACATAGATAAATCATCACGTATGCTTTGTTTAAAATTGATAATAATATTATCTGAGTCTTCAGAGAAATTATGGACTAATTGACGTTTATTTAACTTCGATCAGCTTGTATTTATGCCTTAGTAGGTTAATTCACCATAGAATGATTCCATAGATATTAATATTTTAATTATATATGTACATATATTCTACAAAATTATGGTATTTCATTTGAGCAATTCTTAATTCTATTTAAAAATAAATTCCAGTCTACTTTGGCATTTAAATTATTATTTGTCGGAAACATATCTTAGATTATTAGTTGTAGAACGAATTATCCTTTTTTTTTAATAACTACCATCTCTATTTGAAATTAATCAAATTTTTATTAATACTTTTTTTTGCTCTATAATTTTCTAATATATGAAATCATGAAATTACGTAAAAGTGCATCACATGAATGTATAAGCAGATTTATTGATTTAAGTGTATTTTACATGCTCACAAAAGTGCACTTCGCATAAAATATCTTCACAGTGATGAGAAGTTTGTGTACACTGATGCACAAATATACAACCTGTATTATACACGAATATATGTACATATATATATATATGAGCAATCGTAACAGTATAGTGTGTTACTAGCAATTATGTAGTAGTAATAATAATAGTGATCCGAGAAATATAAGAGAGCAATATTCCAAATATTACCATTATAATTATAACTGTTACTGTCATTATTACCTACATAATTATTACTGATATTAATTGTATGAAGTAACCTTATTATTCTATATGGATGGGTGAGAGTAGATTTGTTTGCTTCTAAAGGTATTTTAGTGGGTGGATTAAGTGGTGATTGATTATCTGTGTGCTTTTCTAGTGTACACTAAATCTTTTATCTAACAGAAAGGTACTGATAACGGAGCTGTGCACATATGACCTCAAGAAATTTCTTAATTACTTATATGCAAGTTTACTAATTTAAATAATCATAATAATAAATAGTTACTTTGTTGGTAAGCGACATGGAATACGAGCGGTCCCAATTTCAAAATAAATTATTCTGAGGAAATAATTACTATATTTCAAAATAATTTTTAAGTAGTATAAAAAATTCTTGTCGAAAAACACTCCTGGTTTTATTTGTAGAAAAAAGGGAGTCAAAACACCTCCAGCTATGTTGATAACAACTGCCAATAATTTTATAGTAACTATTGTAAAGATTTTATAGTAAGTCAGAAATGAAATCTTCATGATCATAAGCTGAATAACAAACACTAGTTTATGACTAGGATGCCATATTTAAAAAGAATATTCTAAGACTGGTGAAGCTGTTGGGGAAATCTTATTCATTTGATCGCATAGAACTAATGAATGCTACTAAGTGTCATTCAGCTATTTCGGACAAAACAACTATGACTATACTTGCGTCCATATATAGTCATTTGGATGGCAAACTATACCAACAATTCACAATGCAGCATGATGGCAAGCCGCCTAGCATGGTGGCCACATTGCAAGTTTGGCTGATAGAATTCAGTCTGCACCGAAGATAGGACTAGACATATTACACTACTTACTGACTAGTATCCAATCAAAAATATCCAGTACAGTCTCTCAGGAAGTCAGTCGCGAGCTTGAATAGCTCAGTGATAACGTCTCTGACTACAACACTGGGTAACGTGGGTTTGAATCTCAGAAGGGATGTGAGTTCTTCTGAGGTTGCAGATACGCCTTGCTGACAGGTGAGTGACAACTAGCAAAAAACCTAGGTCCAAGGTATCCTTCCGATGAGCTCCGATCATCTGATACCAAACTATTATTATACTTTAAGTCATACAATATTAAGTTTACAAAACTGAATTCAAATAGATGAACTGCATTTCGCTGTATTATCAATAAGTTGGCAGACATGTGATGAATTTCGAAGTGATTTTCGTCTATTGGAGATGAGTGTTAAGCGATGAATAGGTGAACAGTTGGTTGATTCAGACTGAGCTATTTGAAATTGCCTGTTTCCACATGAAACTTGACATCAAGACCTTGCAGGTTTCTCATAACATATTTTGCTATTAAGTCAGATACTAATTTTTAGTAATACTTTGTAGTGAAAAATCAGAAAAGTTACGATACAAGGTGTTTAGAATACAGTCATATAGAAATGGGCCTGAGTACTTTTAAACGCCGGATAAATTCCTAATTATTTTTATATTTTTCGCTTGCAAGAGCAGGAATTAAAATTTCTCTGCCTCATAATCTTTGCAATTAGTCAAATATAATAGTTATCCATAGTGACAGAAGGTTGTTACTTAAATTGATGGGACACCTACAGTTAGGTTATTGATAATGTCTTGAAATTACGTTAAAATTTAGTGAATTTTGAAGTTCACCAATTCGAGTTTATAGACAGGTTTTCACTAACCAGGTCAAAGAGCACAACGGTACCAGAAACACACACATACATATATATCTTGTTGGGAGCACTTTTTAAAATACAGAACGGAAAGTTTAGCTTAATTCGATATATTACATTTCATGTTTGTTAAAATCTAGCTTAATAGTGATATTCATGACTTACAAGCTCTACTATTTTAGTTATCATTTATGCGCATCTTTTATACTGAAAGTTGCGTAAACTGTGGGAAATATGCACAAGAACTGTAGACAAGCACACCTTTGAAAGCCTCCATAGACTACTGGTAAATCCACCACCTCGTATCTTATGTTTTTATGATTTCGAACCAAATGCTGCTAAAGTGTCACTAAGTGCTGAAACGCTTTTTTCATAAAGTATTTACCCAACAGTTAATTGGTCTATTCAGAGCACACGATGTTTAATGTAAACAGTTTGTGTTCTAGGTTTCCAGACCGTAGGTGTTACGAACTTCCTGGAACTTCTGTAAGAATAAACAGCTTCAGTTTAAGACACAGTTAAAATAGCCGAAAAGATGTTTTACAGTGAAAGCAGGCGTTTATAAATATCATATTTGTTGGTCAAACTAGCCAATACCAATATTTAGTGCATATGAATTCTTTCTACTGATATTAGTTAGTAGTATGTGTTATACTTGCTTTAATTCTTTAAAGCTTTTTGGAATTTCGCTAATCTTCACTAGTTACATCTTAAATTATTTATCAGATTAATTTCAAGGAATCTGAAATATGTTTGGCCTATTTCCAAATGAATTTCGTCTTAATTGGTTTGGATAGCCCTATTAAGATTTACAAAACAACTTTCTTTAGAAAGATGGCTAGACAGGTTGCTATCATTTTTCAAGCTACTTTAATACATAAACCAATCTGACTATCGATCACTCCTGTTGTGCATCTTTTGCTATGCACAAAAGTTTTCATGTGATTATAAAAGAAAGTTTATAATGTGCACCTAATTTAAGAGAAAAATATTGATTGACTATGTGAAACAGTGCTTACACCCACACATACTTTGTATCGCTACATTTTGAGAAAGTGGTTCTTTGTTTCGAAGTATTATTTTCATTAAACATAACATTATATTATCGAGCTAAAAACTACCATTATGATGTAGGATATCGTGATTATAGAAATTTAAAAAAATTATGTTGTACTGCTTTAGTATTCTCTCTTTTGGGCAAGCAATACTTATCAGGGAACTTGCAATACTTAATTTGTGGATGGTGACTAGCACTGGAATCCAGGGTGTGCATTTCCTCCTATTTGGGACTCCTCATCTGTGTGATGACGTTCCCACCGAGGCCCGAACCAAGTGACCATAGTTTCAAACGCCTAAGCGTTATCCACTAGACCATTTAGGCCACAAGAGCCACCTCTTGTGCAATGGGTCATATTAATTTGATTGGACCGAAGTGCTCAAAGTGAGACCAAGCAATTCGTTCAAATCAGTCGACGGGAAAATCTGAAATTCAAATGAACTTATAATACATTAGAATTTTAGATCGTCTGGTGCTTGTTAGACAGACTAAGTCACATCTTATGCCCAAAACAGATTGTGATAATAACTCAATGTGTTGGTCTTATTTGTTCAGGATAATCTGATTTTTTATTTTCTTAAGAACAATCTGCAGACTAGTAAGATCTACACGTGAATAAAGTCCCAATACACTGATCACTACTCAGTTTCGTGCATTATTT